ATTTATCAATTAGTTTTTCCAAAAAATAAATAGTTTAAGCAAAAAACGATTGGTTTGATACGTTTTTTTCAAATTCATTATTGGTATTTATTATTATTATGTATGGTGACACTTCAATACTAAACAACTACCTACAATATTAATTGGAAGCTATACATTTTTTATATCGTTATTGCAATAAAAACACATAATTTTCTAGGTTAATGCCCTTTTTCATCATTCCCCAGTAACGGCAATTTTTTTTATTTAGTAACAGTTTTTTACTCCCATAATAAATCTTTATTATCTTTACCTAGCGTTCAGTATTTTTACTTAGCAGATAGTTTAGTATCTTAGAGTTTAATTTTTTCCCTTATTTATGTAAGGTTACTAAGATTCAAAAACCATCAAAAGTCAAAAATAAAGGCAACTACGTCAATCACGGAAAAACAGATATTTTATTGGTGAACCCTCGTGGTGACGTCATATTTCCCAGTTCGATTGTGATATACTATTTATTTTTGAGGGTGCTTTACCTTGGTCTTTTTGAAGTTGTTCATGGTCTTCTGCTCGAACTTGACGGTGTCGAGGGCGTGCGTGGGGGACCCGACTTCGGAGGGCACTGGCGTGTCGTCGGGGAAGGTGACCAGCGGCTGTGAAATCTCGTCCATGTCGTCGTCGTCGGCGTCGAGATTCTCCAAGGAGCTCCTCAACTTGTTCAGATTCGATATGCTGCTCTTCATGTCGTTCAAATTATTTTTCATTTCGATGAGATCAGATTTCATGTTAGATGCCTTCAGGTCGGAGGACGTCACATGGCGTCGTTGCGTACTCGTGGAGCTTGAGGTGACGCGTGTCGTTGTCGTACTGGTTTGCGAATTGGTCTGCAACTGTTTTAAAAGGTCGCTTGATGAGACATGATAGTATTTTCAGTAATGTGATTCTAAAGAGTATTAATAGGCGTTGGAAACAATCCAGTCGTTACGACGAAATCGACTGGCCAATTTTATGCCGCAGATTCGCGTGATAAATATTTGGGTTTCTCGATAATCTACAGTGAAATCGTTGAGTAAATAAATAAGACACTACTTCTGATTACAATAAAGATTCGACGATAAACACGCTGGTTCAAGGCAAGGGACTTTGCCTACTGCGACGAAGAAAAAAGGAAGCAATTTGTTATTACCTGTGAGGATGTGGTCACTGCAGACCTTGGGATTGGGATCGTTAAGTTCATCATCGTGGGATGATGATCGTTGCCGTTTGCATTGTCGACGGACAAATCGGTCGCCATCTGCAACCAAAACAAAATCTCAATTTCGAACAAAGAACCAACATGGGATTCACCGGACCGGATTTCCGGTATTCAAGAAGACGTGTCCATTATCGCGTTATCACTCATCCATATTCATGGATTTGAACGGCTTTTTGGCGCGAAATCCAACTTATCGTCACACTGACTCATAACAACGTTACTGATGCACTACTATCTCACGATATGATTATTACAAGAATGTCCGCGACCTCTCGTCGATATAACAAACTATTATTAGTCAAGTGATGTCACTGAAGCAATTCATGAGTTACGTATGAATGAAAACGTAATACTCAGCGTATGACATGATGTCACATTATTTCCTACATCTTATTTACACTTTTTCAACTTGTTTATTGGTGTGGGAGGCTTCCTCGCGTCCTTCATCACATCAAACAAGTTTTAAATAAATTGCGAGAGAATCAAATTATTGTTGCGTAAATCTAGTGGGCGAGTCGGTCAAGTCAGGTCACTAGACCGGTCATACCTGTTCCCGTTGTTTAAAAAACTTAATCCGCTCTTTGATGGTTTGAGGGGCGGTTTTTTGGTAGTGAGTGAATCCCCGATTGGCTGAATACATTTTGAGTGAGGAAAAAACACTTTCACATGGCGACGCGTCTGCTCCGTCACAGGTAAGAAACTAAACTGGCGTGTTATCTTTACCTGCTCGGGGAAATTGTGAGTGAAACTCTCCCGAGATAATCGTCTGTCTTGTCTTATCAGTGAGATTAGTTAAGAAAAATTCTATTACCTTGTGCGATTTTCACTATTACCACATTGTTAAATCGATCAAGCCATGACTGAGTGAAAATCAGACAGTCATGTGTTTATACAAGGCCGGCTCGATCGCGAGCACCCACGGTGTACGACGATGAATGGGAGAATTTGGAATTAGATTATCCTGATTAGAAAAGCGCGCCGCAGGATTGTTTGCATTTCGACGAAAATACCGCCAAGGACGGGGCTTTCGCGCCGAGGAATTTAAGGTTGTACCTGAGGTGCCTAAATTGTTACATAAGTCACCTAACAAGCCTTGTATTTTTAGATCCTGTTATCAATGGAGACTGACTCAGAGGATGAATCACCGGATTCCACGGATTTTTCAGAGCTTTGGGTCAGCAGCTGATTGACCTGCCGGTTACCGGCACAACAATTAACCACTTTTTACATAACAAAAAGAGATGACTAATTTTAACGAACATTTTCGGCCAAACCTGTTTCAAGCAAAATTATTTGCCTGGGTTAAGTACCCAACCTGCAGATTCCACTAAGGCATAAAATCTTGACTCACCAAATAACTCAATTGTAAAATTTTGTACCTGAGGTTGAATTGATTCATGTTTCTTGGAGGCAACTGTATCAATGGAGCTGCTTGCATTGGTTAAAAAACAATAAATAATTCATTCCTGGACAACGTGGGTGAAATTTGCATTTTCGCTGTGTTTGATATACCTGTTAACATTTTTCAGTTGCTAAAAATTGTGCTGATTCAAACTTCCGATAATGAAATCAATAAATATCAGCAATATCAGTTCTGGACGCGTTGTAGGTGTTGATTTTTCTCAATTGAATACGATTGACCTTAATCAGATCTTGTGTTATCAATTGATTTTAATTGATTTAGTGGATTGGAATTTACAGCTGAGATGAAAAATGATTTCTCGTTGAACTAAGATGAACTGTAAACTTTCAAAAATGTAACCGTTTTTTCAATGAATAAAATCTATTTTTATTTTTGAGTTGGGTTATGCTAAATTTATTATTCTATGGAATTCTACTTTTGCTGAAAAAAATGAATATCCAGTAAATTTCCTTTGCAGAATTAAAGAACAAAAAGAGATTTAAAATTCCGATAAAAAAAACATTTTATTGTGCAAAAAATGTATTTGTTTTCAAGAATAAAATCCCATTTTTAACTTATAATTTTTTTAGTAGAATTCAATTTTTGACGAAAACATTTCATTCTTAATAAATTGCCAGTAAAAAGAAATCACCGAATAAAAACAAAAAGTAATTTTTTGAANTTGTGCCAACATTCAAAAATGTGATCGTTTTTCAAAAATAAAGCTTTTTAATTTTGTGTTTGGTGTTAAGTTCTGTAAAATATAATTCCTCTTTAAATGCAACCTTCTTTGAAATTTTTCTTTGACAAAGACTGAGAGGGCAAAAATTAAAGACAAATTGTTATTTTAAACTTTTCAAAAAAATCGAGCCACAAGAAATATTTGGGGAGACTAAAAATTCTAGAGAAATATCTGCGTAAAAAAAAATTCTAGACTTGAAACGAAATTCTTAAGGAAAACTCGAATAAAAACAATTTCAGTACAAATTTTTCTCTTCAGGTTTGTATCAAAATATTTATAAAAAATAACTAATGAAAAAATTCTAAAATGTAATAAAATGGAGCAAAAAATTTAAATTTCAAAAAATCGAGCTGAAAAGACAGTTGGAAGATTAAAATTCTATCAAAAATATCACCTTAAAATCTTTAGACTTGCAACAAAACAATTCTTAAAGAAAAATTCTCAAATATAAAAAATGTTATTTTTCAAAAAAATCGAACTAAAAAAAGACAATTGGGGAGACTAAAAACTTTAAAGAAATACCTGCTTAAAAAATTCTAGACTTGCAACAAGAAAATTCTTAAGAAAAACTGGAATAAAAATAATTTAATTGCAAATTTCTCTCTTCAGGCTTGCATCCATCAAAATATAAGTAAAAAAATAATTAAATAAAAAATTCTAAAATGTAGGTAATGAATATGAGTAGAAAAATTTCAAAAAATCGACCTGTAAAAGACAGTTGGGAGATTAAAAATACCACCCTAAAATCTTGCAACAAAAAAAAATAAAACAATTCTTAAAGAAAAAATTCTCAAACCTAAAAAAATGTTATTTTAAACTAGGAATGACAGTTGCGGAGACTAAAGACCAAAACAACAAAATTCTTAAAGAAAAACTCGAATGCAAATACCTAATAATAATAATACCAATAATAAGTGTCAGTAGAGGATTTTCAAAAAGTTCAGCAGTAAAAGACAGTTGGAGGATTAAAAATATATCTAAAAATACCACTTTAAAATCTCTAAACTTGCAGCAAAAAAAATGGGAGAAATACCCGAATTTAAAAAGATCAGTAGGAACTTTTAAAAACAGATAAGAAAGACTAAAAATCTATTTAAAAAGACTGATTTCTAAAGTACATACTTTAAACTTGCAATTTTCTGGATAGAATCCGTTAAAAAGCAAAATGAGAAGTTAAAGACAAGAAAATAATACTCAAAAAACGCTCTTTTACCAGTATATTTTTTAGAAAGAAAATACAGTTTTAAGAGTAACCACTACTATCCTAAATAGAATTGCAAGACTATAAAACTGAACAAAATTTGGAAAAATTCAAAAACGATCACATTTTATAGCACTTTATATTTCGCCAATTAACAAATACTGTTAAACCTGTTTGGTTTCATACTTTTTGTTTACTCTGTATAACGCTTTTCTTTGATCTGAAGTGGGCGAATCGCGACGTTAATTACAAACTTGCTTTTATTACGTTATTGTTGCTTCGTCCTTGTTTAGTTCATTTACATGTAATTATACAGTACGGTTCAACGGCTAAAAACAAACCGAAAAATCCAGTTGAGGAATTAGACACATCGCTCCTTAAGTGAATTAAGTCTGGAATGTAAAACAGCTGATATCCGAATCCAAAAATAACCCGAAGATACGCGGAAAACAAGGTAAATTTCCTTCTGCAAATAAGTAGGAACTTTGACCTCGCCATCTGCACCATCTCCTATTACCAACATGACGTTCTACAATTTCACCCCGTTGCAAATTAAGCTGTTTTTAAGCAGATTAGTCGATTTACCTTATCGTCTCGGAGGCACAAGCCACAACAAATGCAGCTATGCAGCTCAAATTTCAATTTTTTTTACACAATTCCGGATATTTTTAATCCGGGTTTGCGTACTTAACCCACACAAAGTAAATATTTACGGCGATAGCCTATCTAAACAAATCCACGAATTCCGCATTTTTTGTTTCTTTAGTATTATCAAAAAATTATTAATTTTCTCCAAATTACCTTTCGGTTCAAGAAGACGCGTCGCATGTTCATATTGGGTTGGGCCGGCATTGTAATTTTATTCACAACCATGCTTGACACAATACACAACACTGGGCTATTTGACACAAAAACACATAACAATTTGCGAAAATTTCAGGAACTGTGCTAAATTTCAGCGCTCTAAGAGCGACTCGTCAAACTACACGCAACCGTTGCTTACTGAAGTCGCTCAAGTCAATTCTGCTCACTATTTAAATCCCCCTCTGCTCTACGTTTATAATAGTATGTTCTGAGAAACAAGATGTTGGATTGGAAGACACTGAACTGAAAGCTGAGGCGGTTTTGAAAATGACAGATTTAGGCCTTGTGGATTTTCGGAAAAAATCCCGATTTCGCAATTTCTGAGACAATCCTGCGATCATTATCGGCGGAAAATTAGTAGACAATTTGTTGAATTTACATAAATAATGACAAATATAACATTTATACACCTTAATAACACCCAATTAATGACGATAATTGCCTTGCTAAATTTATAATTCCCGCATCTGGACGGGAGACCTTCGAGAGTGAAAAATTTACACAAAAATAACTTATTTATTTATCATGATCTCATAGAATTTTGAAAAGGTAGTACGTTCATAACGCAAAGTTATTATTACCTGCTTTTTTAGCAAGATAAATTACTGACATTTGACAAATATTGGCGAACATAAATCAATTAACAACTAATATCTTCATCATAAAGAGTATCACTAATAAACATACAATTTCCGCCAGTAATGACTGATAAGACATTTGACCTTCCTTTTGTGACAAATCGAATTTAGTTCCGACTTTTGTCCCAATTTTTGAGTAAATAAACGCGAAAATGTCACACTTGTGACGCACTATTCATCTGTGTCTGTTAC